TTCCTTTTATTCAAGATCAAATTTATTCTCCAGAATATTTACAATTGTGCAGTTATTTTGACTTTTCTTAATGATTCTATTTTTCACAGGCCCCTTCACCCTGTTTGCCCCTACCAATGATGCCTTGTCCAACTTGCCAGCATGGGTTAAGAAAGCTGTGTCCAACGTGACTATTCTGGCTGATGTTCTCGAGTACCACGTTCTAGCAGGAAGTGTTAAGTCATCTGCGCTGGCTAATGAGCTTCTTGTTGACACTGTTCTACCAGGAAAGAAGCTTCGCATCAATCTCTACGATAAACAGGGCACAACAGTGGTAAGCCTTCAATGAAATATGAAGTAACTTGTGTTAACCAGAAGCACAGCTATTGTTTCACTGCAGATTTTTGTCTTATAAAAATCGTTTTACTCATTTGTACTTTGTAGGCATTAGCAAGTCACCTTTATCCTTTGTTAGAATTATTTGCATGCTATCTCATAACTGCAATTTAGTTCACTAAAATATATGGTAAGCTTTTTGTTATTTAAGACTTTATATACCGTATTTATACCACCGGGTATATGGTGGTTAGAAAAGCAAATGAAATTAATAAATGTTCGCACCATTTTAGTCCTCTTTTGATGCTTTTTGATGCTGTTAATACATTACCAATTTCAAAGTAAAGCATTGGACTTTTTTAGCTATTTTTGTAGTGTTGTTTTTAATTTACCTATTATAATGCCTATAGTACTATAAGAAGTATACTAAGCTGGAAATCAATATTTTAAATTAAGCCAGGAATCAATATTAGAATGATGCATATAAATTTCACTATTGTAACTATTCAGAGTGATTAAAGACGTATGCAATGGGAAAGTGGCGTATGCATTGGGAAGGTGGCTTTTATCAGAACCAACCAAAAATAAAAATGTACATTTGGCTTCTTTAATTTTAATTAAGAAAATTTAAATTTTGAATTTAATTTAAAAATGTAGAATGTATACTAAGTGTTGGGAGAGAGATGTTCTATAATAAAGTTATTCCTAAATGATTATGAGATTTCTAAGTGAAAAGCAAACTCACCAAATTGTAGAACCTGTGAAACTTAATGCCTTGTTCAAAGTTATCCAATGTCTTTTTAAATGTGTTAAAGGCTACTGCTCAGTGTGCCCCAATTGACCTGTCCAGGGTTGATCAAGCTGCAACCAATGGAATCGTACATGTTCTCAATGGAGTCATGTTACCACCTGCTGGAAATATTGTCCAGGTCCTCGTCGAGTGTCCCAAGTTCACAACGCTTGTTACAGCTGTTAAAGCTGCTGGCCTAGTTAATGCTCTCAGTAGTAAGCTATTTTCTAAATCTAGTAAATTGTAATTGCCAGCAATTCAATAATTTCAGATCTAAATATTTTAGTGCTAGAGCTATATTAAAATGTTAATTTTAGCATTAATTTTTATCTCATAAAGAATGTAACAATATAATTTATTATATTTCAAAACAATCTAACAGGCGATGGTCCTTTCACCCTTTTTGCACCCACTGACAAAGCCTTCAAGAAGTTGCCACCCCAAGTCCTTGACAACCTTCTGAAGAATGTGACTGCCTTAACAAGTAAGAGCTCTTATTTTCCATTTTAAAAAACCTTTAAGAGCCTATTCAAGAGTTTAACAGAAGTTTTTTAAAATTTACTTTCGTTATGAAATTTAAAACTTTAAAATTTTCAATCAACCTCGGATAACTCTGTTGCTCCTCAAATGTGTATTTGACAATATTAAATAGTATAATACTTGGACCCTTTTCACCATAGGTTGGTTCTGTCATAAGGTGTTAAGTAAAAAGCTTGAACTAGAAAGGTGGTCATCTTGAATTTGAATGCTTTTTGTAATTTTATTTCCCCACTCTATGTATAATAATAATGTAGGAGTATGAATTTCATATTTTCCCCTGTAATTCAGGAGTACTAGAGTACCATGTTGTTGCTGGAACCTTTTGCAGTGCTGGTCTCTTCAATAGTGATGTACCCACTCTGGCCAAAGACACAGTTAAAATTGAGATAAATGGAGGTGGGTTTGATAATTTTAAAATCATAGAGTATATAAAGTACCGGTATTTCATTTTATTTTTCCCATTCCTATTCTACTTCTAGTTCTAGACATATGCAAACTTAATTGTATATGTGCTTTTCAGTTATATTCTGCGCCCCCATTGTAGTTTTTTTCCCTTCAGGTTTTTTGAAACATGAACAATTCTAAAGAGTTAAATACGATTCCCATTTAGGTTTTAAAATAGCTGATGTAAATCATTGAAAAGGACACCCCACCCATGGATGTTTTATGATCATTTTACTATGATCTTTACAGCTAACATGATTTGCTGGTATTGGTAAGCACTCAATATTATTATCTTTATATTTCAGGCAAAGTCACAGTCAACAATGCCAGAGTTCTTGTAGCAGATGGCAGTGTCACCAATGGAGTTGTACATGCAATTGACCAAGTTCTCCTTCCACCCAATTTAGTCGGCTAAAATTATATTTTCTTCAAAACATTTTCTCAATTTTATTCAAAATTCCACTATTGGTTTTATACTGTTTAGCATTCATGAAACATAGTTTGTTTTTTGTTCAATATATGTGCTAGTCTTTAAATTGGATAAATTTACTTTGTACTGTTTTAAATAAAAAAAAAATAAAAAATAAACTTCTATGACTTGTTCACATCTTATTGTAAAATGTGGTGTTATAAGCTATACCGTACTAAATTATTATACAAGTTTTACTAATACATAACAAGGGTGACAAGCGGAGAACTAATACATAACAATGGTGACAACTGGAGAAACATGATGTGCAACTGAAGAAATATGGAACATTAAGAACAGTCCTACATTCAGGCCAGTGAATCAAGCAAACCTGATGCTGTATAGGGTTACCGACCATCTGGTGTTGCCCATTACTATTGTGGTTTTTTTATAGTGCAGTACCCCAGCCTAGGGCAAGGCTCACTGCGCTTCTCATAAAAATTAGCAATTAAATAAATTTATACATTTAAAAAGAATTGGTAAAAAGTTTTTAAAAGCTTGACCTCATCCGCTCAAGTACTTTCTACCCCTGACTTGCCATGGACAGCATCCAGCATTTGTTCACCGTATGTGAACAAAAAGAATATGCATGCCTGCGGAGGGAAGCTTTCAAAGGGATGAATAGACGGAAAGAAGTTCAGTAAGATAGGAAGGGCAGGAACCAGAGAAAAAGTTGTGACAGAACAGACAGCTTGTAATCAAGGGCTTGTAAAAGTGTAGAGGGAGTGGAGTGGCATGATCACGTTTCTTGGCCTTTAGAACTAACCTACCCGCTGAGCTTTGAACTTTCTGCAGTTTTTCTATGAAATGTTTTGATGAATCTGACAGAAGAGAGTTGCAATACTCAAGACAAGAAAGAGAACAAGAGCACAGTGGCAGATCGAGCTGATCTGGCGGATAGTGGTGTATGCAGAGAAACAGAAGTGAGAAATATAATTGAGAGACATGTCAGTAAGAATTTAACCAAGATTCCAAGATTCCTAGCAGAGGATGTGGACTCTGTCGGAGCTACCTACTTGAAACAAGTTGGGGAGAGCTGAGTTTGAGGATGATGCATGATTGTGAATGAGGAATGCTTCTGTTCTGTCATCGTTCAGCTTCAACTTGCTGAGAGTCATCCATGATTTGACATCACCAATGCTCTCCTGCGAAGTGTGGATAGTGGTATTGACAAGAGAGGGATGGGTATGCTTGTATAGCTGTATGCCATCTGCGAATGAATGACTCTCAACAGCATGCCTCCTGAGCAGAAGTGGCCTGGTATACATTTTGAATAGGACGGGACCCAAAACGGACCCCTGTTGCACTCCATAATCCAAGTCAACACTACCAGAGAGACAGTCAGCAACAGCAACCACCTGTATTCTATGGAGAGGTAGGACCGAAACCAAGCCAAAACTGAACCCGAAATGCCAAAATAATTTTCAAGGGTTTTGAAAAGAGTTTGATGGTCAACATAACCGCTGTCCACTGCAAGGAAGAGGTCACTGCTGACTCTCAAGAGATCTGCTTCTGTGCTGTAAAAAGGTCTACGGGCCGACTGATTAAGACTGAGAAGAAAGTAGGCAAAAAGCTGATTTAGAGCTAGTTTTTCCAATGACTTTAGGTAAAAATGATAAATTAGATACCAGTACATGCTATAGTTGTAATATTATTTTGATCAAGACTAGACTTCTTAAGTAATGGTTTGATGACAGCTGCCTTACAAAGAGAGGGAACAATGCCAGAAGACAAGCTCTCATTAACTATGTTGGTTATTGCTGGGAACATTGCTTTGGCTGCTCATTAATTTGTTCAAATTGCTTTTGTCATTCACTTGGCGTGTTGCTTTAAGAGTTTCTGAATTCTTAAAGCACATTGAAAAGTATAGGAGGAGGCACACTTTGTTTCCATTCTCCAAATTTAAGTTAAGATATGAGCTATGAATAGTTACACCAGACATTAATTTTACTTAGTAAACAATGAAGAAATGTGCAATACCTCTGGCACCAGCCCCTCCTGTTTTATTATATTACTCTTAGGTTGTTTAAGATGCTGTAATGATTCCATTTCAGACGATACCTACCATTGTACTGTATCATTCATTACACAGATCTCTCACAGATAGCATCTATACTCTATAGGCTTAATTGGTTACTAACCAACTTATATTGACATAACATTTTTTTTTCCAAGATGACTTGTGCACTGCTGAAACATGAACTTTACAACATTATCTGCATACAATCGTTAGGACGAAAGTTGTCTCTTACAATTAATTTCTATTGATATGAGTATAATTTTCATCAGCTGACAAATATTTATTTTCCTTTAATTTGTATAAATTTTGGCTATATAGGTTCCAGATTCGAAACTAACTATGTTTGGGCCAACCCACATATTTTTTGCTACGTAATGCTTATATTGTAAAACAATTGTGGACAAAAAAACTTACAAATAAATCAATGGCATTTAATTGTTTTATTAAATTCATTGATCAGAATAACTCAAGAAATAAGAGATGTTAATACAGTCATTCGTCCAATTCTTTACTTGAGTCCAGTAAGTAGATCCTACAGTGATCACCTATTTCATCATGATGGATCTGGATTGAGAAAGGTGACAGAAATATTAATTAAAGACATCAATAGTATTTTAAAATTTATCTTTGAAATTTAACAGCATCAGTAGTAAAAATAGTTATCAATTTGCCTCAACAAGACAGAAGTTAGAAAGCTTATCAAATAGACAGACAATGCTAGTGTTAAGAAAAGCAAATCGAGGTAAAAATGATACTGGTGAAATTTTTAAAGCTAATAACAAAACTGACAAGGTGTAATTTTTTTCCCCTGAAATATATAACAAGCTTAACACTTTACAGTGCAGACCTGCTTCCTTTTGCTAGCTCGGGATGGGCAACATTTCTCCAGTTTTTAGTAAGATTTAGGGTTATGTTAGTAAAAAACATCAAATCTAAGGTGTTGGTAAACAAATTTTTGTGAAATGAACAAAAAATAAAGGAAAATGAATGCAGATTTGCCAGTAATCCACACAAATATTTGCAAAATAAAATATAACATATTGTTTATGATTGTCAGCCATTTATTTATTGTTTACAAACACTGTCATGAAATCGAAGTGTGTAAACTTAAAGACAGCTTATGCTGATATCATGAATAATATTAATATCTAGTACTGACTCATGGTCAATTTCAAGCACTTTAATGTTATTTAAATTGAACCCAGCAAAATCTCCGCTATCACTTTAAGAAACGTTGAAATCTGTTTTGAAAAACAAAGCATTAAAACCCGGAAAACTACAAAATAATCTGATCAAATACTTGTAACTGGCGCCCACATTATCAAGCTATCAGCAAAACCGGATGTAAACCATGGGAAGTCTCGGAGATTGCATGTTTACAACTCTAAGTTGTCACAGGCGCCTTCGGACGTTATGCCCTTAAGCAATAAAGACGTTTTTGGCCGCTGTGGCCCCTGTAAAGGATTAACTTACGTATTTGATCACCAAAGACTGATTGGCCAGTTATAATCTGTTAAGCCTGAAAGATTCAATGCAGTTCACAAAGACCAAATCTGTCAGAAATTTTCCTAAAAAATGCAAATACATGTTGTTTTTTTAAACAATGCCTTCAAAATGTTAATTGTTTAATGTATTGTAGTTTTTTAAATTATTAAATGCTGAGGTGTTTACAAAATTCTAAAAGAGTAAAAATTTAAATTTGGAATAAACTGGAATTATTCTTCAGATCTTTATTCTTGCCATCTCATAAAATATGTTTTGTCAAGTAATTAATTTTTATAATAAAAGCTCTGTCAGAATGTTACTTAAGGTGTAAACCAATCAATATAAAAACAAAAATATAATTTTAAACTGTAATAAAATTAAATATATATATTTTTTAAAACAGACCAAAAAAACCCAACATAAACAAAAGTTAATTTGCTGATTACAACTGTGTTTAAAGGTGTTAGCAAACTTTATTATTTAAAAAAAAATGATTATTAGACTAATAATATTTTAGAATTCTTAATAACAAGTTTACTTACATAAAGATGACAATCAGAGTTCATCTTTGATTTTTGTCTCTTCAAGATGCAAGCCAGTATCAGGCAAAATGTGCCTGAAAAAGAGTTAATCGTATTCAGTTTAAACTTAAGGTTGGTGCACCTGCTTTTTTAGAACTCTGTTTCAGATTTAAGAATTTTTTTTACCAAAACAAATTGTCAAGCTTTCTTATTATAACTGTAAAAAGTGGTAAGTTATTTATTATATATTATATGGATGATGACTTGAAAGTGAAAAAAATAACTACAACTGTACACATTACAAAAAGACCGGGGAAGTCTTACCTCTAGTCTTAAGTCTGAGTCCTGTCATAAATTTCACAGCAGTAAAGTGATCTGTACATGTCAACAGTTGAAGATTGTCTTCTGTGTTAGTCTCATAAAGACTCATATAACTAATTTTCATTGCAGGAATAGGTTTTTGCACCCAAATTTGTCTAGTCCAATAGCAAGCACCATCATCTGCTTTACACTATTTTGTTTAAATATCTCATATCCAGCTGCTAAAACTTTAGTAAATTAACTTACCCTGTTTGTGTATATATTTCATTTATTTAGAAGACAACATAAGATCCACAAAACTGAAACAGTGTACTACCAGAATGAAATATTGTTTTTTAAACTTCATGGACCAATATAAATGATGTATAATTATATTAAAAAAAATAATGAAATGACTTTTACTTGACGGAATATATTTGTAAATAACCAGAAGTGAAACATTGGCATATTTTTATATTGGTCCTAGTCATACTGAGACCTTATATCATGAGACACAAGGATAAATACTCATTTTTTACAAAATTAACTCCTTTTTTAAAGTTTGGTTATAAATTGAACTCTTTTGATAGAATTAAAGTAACTCCTTTTTGTATGTGCCATTATAAACTGAACTACTTTGATAGAATAAACTATAAATCAGCAACTGTTGAACAATAACAAAAAATACACTTATGAAAGACTGACAGAAATGAAGGACAACTTGAATTAAAAACATTCCATTGTCTTTTTTTATTACAACTAAAAACAAAAATAACAATGTCACAACATTTAAAAAAAGTAAGGTTCTCCAGGAAAGGCAAAAAACATCAAACGTAGAATGATGAATATAGTTCTTCAAAAAGATTTGAAAATAAATTTACACATTTTCCCCAATGAAAAGCAAAAGTTTACTGAGATACAAAAATCATCCAACATTATGAAAAGATATTTCTTAGAAAATTTTCAAACACATATTTTTTATTTTAAAACCCCCACATGAATGTCGAACAATTAAATGCATTTATTTACAATTATTTGCTATGACCTATTGGTTAATGATTGTGACAGACAATTAGAATCCTTTACTTTAGCAAGACAAGATGTGTTGTAAACATAGAAAAGACCTAAAGAATTAAAGACTGGCAATGATAAAAAAAGACGTTTTTTAAATGGTACATTAAGACAACAGAAATTCTTTCAAGGTCAAATGTTTAATTTTTATGTCTAATACACCGTCTTCAAGTTGTTCTTGAAGTAAGAGAACAGCCTGTTAATTCTAGTCGTAAACTGTAGTTTTAATGCAGGTCTTCGTAATTTACTCTTTGGTCCGTTCATTTAGTCCTGTACGTTTTGTCTTCTTTGTCGGTCACCTGTTGTTTAAAGGAAAGAGCAAACTGATTCGTCAATAATTCAAAGTCTAGTAAGAAAAAATATATTTGTTAAATTTCAGTTTCTTAGTTCAGGGGTTCTTAACCTTTGTACTGTACCCCTTTTTTTTGTGTCTGAAAGTCATAAATTATATCCCCATCAGTTCTATTAAGAACCCCTGCTCTAGACAGATTTGAATGCATGTGCTAAAGCTAACCATATTTTAGAACATTAGAATAGACAGGTAAACTAATCTCAGGATTCATTTCTAAATTTCTAATACCATTTTGATGTAAAGTCAAAGCTTACATTTTCTTTACTAAAAAAAAAAAAAAAAAAAGGTAATAATGCAATAAAATTAATTATTCTTTATTTTACTCTCAAAACCAGAATTGAAATTAAAATTCATAACATAAACAGTTTTTTTTAAAAATCCAGAACCAGATAATGCTTTATAGGGACACTAAAAATGAAATGCATTTTGATTAGATCATTTTCATTAAGAAAAGTTACATTTATATTTGATTTAAAAATAAAATTGTATTCTGACCAATGAAATGTTTATGGGTTAGCAGAGAAAGTGAAATTGGAATAATTTCACTGGATCCAAAACACTATTTACTATTTTTTTAAAGTTGTTGCAAATATAATTCAGCCCAAAATACTTAGAAAGTGTGCATATAATAGTTCAGATAATAAATGATGCTAAAAAATACTTAATTGCAGTAAAGAACAGCTATTATTTGAAATTATAATACATATTTTTAATATGTTTTAGACTTTCTAAGACATTATCAAGATTTTAAAAGAAGTATTTATTTGTAATAACATATGTAGCCTAGAATAATGATCAGGAACAACTTTTCCCACTTCAATCAATATAATTTCACCACTTAAGCAAACTACACAACTATTCCAGGATTCTTGTTAAAACTTAGCAGTGAATAGATTCTTACAGCAAAGCAATGCAAATGTAGAAATGTATTTAAATTGTCACTAAGATTGCAAATTGTTGAACATTTAAGAACAACCCTCCCACCAAAAGCAGCTTTGAACCTTAACCTTTAATCTAGCAGATATAAATTAAACACCCAGGTTGTTGAACATGATTAGAACTGGTGACCGTAAATATTAAAAGCAATGCTTAGTTAAATTAATGAAATAAAAGTGAATAAATATTGCGTTGTGTTTGAGATTAAATCTGCATATGTGATTTTCGTGTGGGAACATTAATAGCTCCCTAAAGGGCGATAGTTGGGTAAAATAGGCAAATGATGAAGTCTTCTTTCTAATATTTTTAAATAACCTCTCTTGTAAATATTTATTTAGGATAAACCTAATTTTTGTATCTGGTCTTACCTTTTCCTATTAACTCACTCCTACCTAAATTACATCATTTCAGCTTGCTAATAATAGTGACATGAGCTTGGAAAGCAACACTGAACTTTAAACTCTTTTTACTTAGTGAAATTTTTAAAAAAAATAATTGGATTTCTTCAAAGCAAAAAAATGATGTTCTCATCAGCTAACGGTAACCTTTAGCAGTGTGGGAGTTAAGTTGCTAATCACCCTAAACAAATAAAAGGAACGGATGAAGGGTGAATGGGAATGCGGTAGGACAAAAAGCCGAGATATAGGCAGGAGTGTGTTAAGAAGATAAACAATTAAGAGCCAGTATTAATAGGGGTTATAAATGGAAGAAAATAATTCAGTATGTTAAAGTATGATCCATATATTATTGCTTGTAAGTTTTCTTTATAAAACAAATAAAAGCCTGTTTAAACCCAAAAATTCGAAAGGTCTAACATTTTTAGATTAAAAAATTACCTTACAGTCTCTGCTTCTTTGATGGTCCCTCGTCTCCTTGCAATCCTCCATGGACTGGGTGGGGTTTGGGTGGTTCTGCCTCTAAGACTTTCATTTTCTGACCAGCCAAAGTTTGGCCATGGAGTGTTTCAATGGCTTTCATGGCACAGTCTTTTGAAGCATACTTTGCATAACCATAATTGCGACCTGAGCAATTTAAAGACAAATAATATTTTTTTTAAAGAATCAAATACCTTATTCACTGAGCATTTTACTGAATATTAAAAGTCTGACAGTTATTTCCTTAAATAAATTGATGATGATAATAGTAAAGAATATAAGTATTAAGTATAAAACTTCTCTAAGATGTACCTGAAAGTAAATACACATCTATCAGATTCCCAAAGCGACAAAATGCATCCTTCAATACACGTTCTGACACTCCAGAAGGTTGACAGACAATAAAAAGTCTCTGTGCCAGATTTTTTCCATCATCAGCAACAGTAGGTTGTGGAGGAGGAAGCGGGATGTTGCAGTAAGAAACTCTTTCTTTGCGGCCATCGCCAACAGACCCCACCGCTCCACCACTTGCAAAGTTAAGCAGGTTGTGTGGGTTAATGCCAGCTTTTTCCAAAATCATTGCAGCCTACATCGAAAAATATTAAAATTTAATTATATTATAAAATTTATTCATCTTATTTGTAACTTTTTAAATCAGAAAAGAGCTTAAATAAATTAAACAGTATGTCTGCAAATTTGGTAAGAAATAAGACCTGCAATTTAACCTTTTGTCTTATATCCAATGATTCAACAGGACTTGCACCAGGAGCATTATATGATCCCAAAGAGCTGGAAATAATAAAAGCAATGTAAAAGATCTAGACTGTTAAGAAATTATTAACAATAAGTTTTAAATAATACCTTTTGAAAACATTAGTACATTCATTCTGAAATTGAGTATCTAAAATAATACATACAACTATGCTTGCCCAAAAATTCCACTTAAAATTTAAGAAAGATTGAAGTAATTTGTAATATTCAAACCACAAAAGCAATACTAATACATTTGGCCTATTTGTAACAATAAAGTCATCCAACAAATGAATTATTTAATATATAATGAGGCATTGTTTTTTCAAAGGGCCACCAAAGATCCTACAAAAGGTGCTTACAAAGATGTTCCTTGCATGCTCTTAATTCAAAATACACCTTACAATATGCTTTTTATAGACTTGTTAATTAAAAGTAGGTAGTCCAAACTAAAGAAAAAATGCGTTTTAGGGTCATTTTTCGAAGTTTTCAAAAAAATAATTAATCCTCTTCTAGTAGTGATACAGCAATAAAATTTATATGTGAATAAAGTTTAAGTCTTTATCTAGCGAAATATGTTACTTTTATGACTGTAACATATGTTTGAAAGTGTTTTTTCTGTGTCTGAAAAGTATCAGTTTTGACCAATTTTACGGCGTTTTCGCAAGTACCCGTTTACCCCAAGGTGTTTCAAATGTCCACGGCTTCGCGTGTATTTAAGTTATCGCAATAATTCTACCACCATAAGAAAGAGCAGATGATGTCCTTTCGTTTGATGCATAGAAAGTATATCTACCTTGCTTATTTCATTTTGAAAAAGCCGGTTGAAAACTTTTGTATTAAAAAAATGGGCGAAAACATGGAGATATTAGGACGTTCTTTACACCGTTGGAAAGATCAGGTCTTTAACTATTTAATATCACGAGATCAAATGAGTGGGCATGATTCTCGCGAAGCGGCAATGTTTACAAAAACACCCCCATTTCCAGTTCCACACCGCTAGCACTAGACGCCTATTGATAGACATCTCCAGACATGCTAATATTTGATCTTTCTTATATTTTATAAATATATTTTTAAAATTAAGATCGTAGTGTTGATTTCAAAGGGGGTTTCTGTCCGATCGAGGAAATAAAAATGGATGCCGGCGAGTAAACATTGGGGTTGACCGGCGTAAATTTTTATCTGGGGTAGGAGGCTTCAAGTGAATAAAACATTATACACAGCAAAATAATTTAAAAAATAATTTGTAAGCTTATCTTGACAATGACATTGTGAAGCATTTATTAAAACTCAATAAAACGTATTTCTGAGTTAGAATTGTTTCAATATTATTTCATCTTAGACTCACTAGAACTACCGGTACCTATAAGGCCTATTGAAATGGACTCGCCCAGTTCTCTCAATATTTAGTCTTTATATGACACCTATGAATACTTAAAACAATGTTGTAAGCTTTTTAAATTTAATTGTTCATTCCACAGCGGAGAAACCTATGATGACCCTGGGTGCAACATTGTGGCTAGAGTTGACAATTGCTATTGATAATGCACTTGGGGAATAAGACCAACAAGCATATTACATATTGGTTACAGAAGCTTACCCAGTCACCCCCCAGTTGATAGACCAGGCATTTCCCTGACAATTTAATTAAAATTTATGCTCAATTGCTTTCTATTTTTGACAATACCCTGCATTGATATTTTTTTTATTAGTCTTTTAATTAATAGTTATCACATCTGACATCATATTCCTTTGATTTTATCACAATTATGTGATAAAATGCATTTTCCATCACATTTTTTAAACCTTCATTTAAAAAAAAAATGTTAAGTAGGTACTTTTAGACTTATTTTAGTGCCTTTAAGTGTTTATTGATGATGTTAAGGCATACTGCATGTTGTTCTGCTTAAAATTATCTTTAATTTGATGTATGACATATTTATGTAAGTCAATAACAGAAATTTTAACACATTTTTGAAAATGTGTATTTTTACACTTTTCCTGTCGGAAAATAAAAATAACTAAAAATCATTCTTGTTATTTTTTAATAACTTAAGAATTATGTTAAGAATTAATAGATCTGGCTGCTTGAAAAAAATTGGGCTTAAATAATGTAAACTTTGGAGCACATACACCAATTCCTGGACTTCTCTGTTGATTATTTTAGAAAATATAGGTCCTTAAACATGGCAGTTTTTCACAAGGTAAGAAAATCCATTTTTGGTCAATTTTCAGCAAATTTGAAAATTGCATAACTTTTTTGTTTATTGAGATATCTACATTAAATAAGTGGCCTATATCTTAGAATAAAAAGTTCTGTCAGGTGAAACTCACCACATATGTCTGCTATGTATAGAAAATTTTAGTTTGGACTACCTATTAAAAGTATGGTAAAGTAAGATAGCTAACAAGACAAAGTTCCTAGATAAGAAAATGATGCCTCACAACAAGCCTTTTTAGTCCATAAATGCTTTACTTTGATTGTAGCCTTGTATATTGGTTACAATAAATATGACAAACCTTTTTTAAATTGGATTTCATTTGAAAGTTAAGAGCTGGCTAACAATCTGAAGGATAAATAGATTAACTGTCTTAACGACATACTTGGCAAATTGGGAAAAGCCTTTATCCACATTCATGGGAAATTCTTGCCTCATTGACTCATCAGCCATTTGAACATGCAATGGACTGCCGAGTGGGTATTCAAAACCATTGAGTTTATCTCTGGCGTAAGCTGCACACTGAGGGCTGCTATAGCGAGCATAGGCTAGACCTGGATGATAGATAAAATTTTAAATAATTGAAGGCAGATTATAAAAAAAAACAGCTCCACAGAAGTCAGACAGCTCCACAGAAGTCAGGAGCGTTTTTAAAAGCTAAGTAATATTGTATAGGTAAAAAAAAAAGAAGTAAGAATGAAGTGTTAGATGTTAGACAATTTAATACAATATGACAGGCATCAATTAAAATATCTGTTTAGTAAGTATAAAAACAGACAATATAAAATATAATAAAAGATGTTTTATTTATTGGAGAAAATAATTACATACCTGTTGTCTCATTGAGGTCACAGTACTCCATTCCTGGAATAAGGTTGAAAAGTTTTGAAAGGTAACCTTGAGTCAATCCAATGGGAGCCTGTATAATTAAGCGTGATCCAGAGCTTGTTGTTGGGTAATCTGCAAGAATGTCCATGGGTCCTGTACCAATGTGGTGATAGCCTGTAAAATGATAAATTAAAGAAAAACAAATCATTTAATAAATGATAAATTAAAGAAAAACAAATCATTTAATAAATGATAAACATTAAATATACCAAATATATAGCAATTTTATTTAGAAAAAAATGTAAACACAACTTTTAAACAATTCAATCTTCATAAAAAAGATTAAGAGCTTATGCCCTAGTTTTGCACACAAAATAATACAAAATTAATACATACCAGGACCTGGAAATCCAATATCTGGATATAAGTAACCAGGTGGGTGAATCTCATCTTCATACATTCTTTTTTGACCTATGGAAGATATACAATATGACTCAGTTTAAATTTGAGACTGCAATATACTTAATGTAATCAAATAAAAACTTTTATTATAAAGCACATAATTTGAAACGAGCTGAAATTTGTGGAAATATCACAATAATGTTGGACTCAGATGTTGTCTCTTTAAAAGAAAAGCCTAATTATCTTAATTTATTTGAATTATTTCCAAATGAAATAGATTTTGAAGATGATGATGTTGGCATTACTTGTGGTAATGAGGAAAATTCTGAAAATATAGTTGTCTTTATCTGAAAACACATTTGAATGATAAATAGGACCCATTAGTCATTGTGGGTGTGAGTTTAAGGCAGAAAACAGTTGAACCATTGTACTGATTTTAAGGTCATGATCATCTTAAATAATTCACAGAATTCCCAAATTCATTTCAGTATCATTTCTTGCCCAATAACTTTTAGAATATTTATTCTTAAATGAGCCTCTGGATTCTTGTTCTATTTGTTCATTGGTATTTCAGTTATGCATATTAGAGTATTGATCCAAAAGAAAAATGCATAACTCTTCATGAGCTAAAGATATGGCTTATTATCCCATTAAGTTTATGATTGATACAACTCTGAACTAATATTTATGTGTTCCCACTATCAGCAGCATGTAAGATCTGATTATAATTTCTAGAAAATGTATCTACCTGCTCCAGAATGATGAGATGAAAATCCATGAATTTCTATTTCATCCCTTTCATCTCTTGAACGTTGAGGCTCTGCAAATTTTGGTTTATAAGCTGAAATAGTAAAATTTCTTTATTAAACTAAGATTAGAGCACAACTATTCATTTTTTTAAAATACAAAAACAGAGAGGTTTTTTTAATTTCCTTTCTTTATTTCATCAATTAACCTATAATACTCACAGCCTTCACAATTCTCATATGCCATAGCAGCATGAAGTGGCTTGAAGTAGCGAACGTAACCAAATCCTTTACTTTCACCAGAATTACGATCCTTTAACACTGTAACATTTTCAACATCTCCATATTTCTGCAATAGAAAGAAAAAATTAAAATGCAATTTATCATTTTAAACCCCTCCAAACAAGACTAGCAGAATTTCCTTGGTAAACTTAAATTCAACATAAAATAATCAGCCCAATCAGCTTGAAAAGAATTTTAAAATTTCCAGCAAATTGATATCAGTATTTAGATCTGACACTATAAATTTCACAAGAGGATTAAAGTGTCACAAAACTGATTGTGTAAAAAAAGCATGAAAATCATAGTTTTACAAATATAATTTTTCAACTTGTTTTATTTTGATTATTAATATATAAAAACTCAGTCAAGGAGTATGTTAGTACACAAATAAGATCTGTTTGTGTGATGAATGCAGGGAAATTTTATGTTGTACATCAACCACACATTTAATTCTTTTATTACACATATGGATGTATAGGTATTATTTCTTATCATTTATTCTCTATTTGTTCAAAAATTCCCAGTCCTAAAAAATGTAACTTTCCCCATTAGACAGTTTAAAAGGCATTTAAAAATGTAAAAATAAGCTTAATACTAAGCATTAGATTTAGAAAATATTAACGCTTACAGCAAACTCGTCCCTTAAGTTTTGTTCAGTGAAATGTTTGGGAATGATTACAAAAAGACGAACAAGCCTTTCATCTTCTCTTGGATCACGCGTTGAACCATCACGTTTGCTGTTTGCTACAACAACCTGTTAAAAAAAATGTAGACACAATTAGCTAATATTAAATTTGCAAATCATGCTCAGTAACTTTTTATTAAAGTTATTCCATTAATATCAATCAAATTGTGAACTTAGTGTCAAAGTTTTGTTTAAATAGAAAAGCAGAAAGTTGAATAAAATAACAAAATTTGATCCTTATTATGTTTAATGTTTTACAAATTCCATTAAAGCACCTTTAGTCCTTTATTAGTGCCGGGCAAAGCTCTACCATTCATCTCTTCCATTGCCTGCATTGCTTCTGAAGTCTTTGAAAACTTGATGTACACAATTCCTTCACAAAAGAAAAGCAATTTAAAACTAACAAAAGAGTGACATGAATAATATTTCTTACTTAGTTCCTGGAAAAAAGTTTTCAAAAGAAAATTATATATTCTGTGGATAAATAAATTTTAAAGAAAAAAATAAGGATAAAATAAGAGTAGTCTCATTTTATTGTAAGTTAAAGCCAACTCTCAAATAAAGAAATCTAAGCATATGCCTATACATAACATAGTAAAGAGGAGTTACAGCTAGGGTTGAATGGATAAATCAACAGACAGTGATAGTAAAAAATCTGCAATTTTAACAATTTTTCTGTAACTGCTCTTTTTGACATATGTCCAAAAAAAAAAAGTACTCTAAAAGTTTGGTGTAAATTTTGATAGTTTAAATTAGCATTACTTCATAATGCTTTTTTAAAATTCTTAAGCCTAAGACTATGGCAAAAAAATGCATTGTCAGTGCTGCTACTGTTACAACTATTTGTAGGGTCCATCCATAAATTTCATAATATTTTCAGATTTTATTTTTACCCCAATCTTACCAACTCCTCATCACATAAATTTAGATGCCCATCAACAATACATTCATTGTCACCAATATGAGATCCCCTCACCCCCATTGAAGAGGCATGTCATTTAGGTATGGCACTCAGCAATATGGAGCTATTTTACTTTTTATATACATTTAGACTGTTCATTGAATTTTAATAATTATTTCACACTCAATCCAAGGCCTAGCCATAGGCTAGTGGTTGGTGAAATGGGGTAAATTACCCCAAAGGGATAAAAATGGAAATCTTAGGGTAATGAGGGCTCAATAGACATAAATAAAATTATATTTCCATGTTTTATTTTACAAAATATATTTCTGGAAATACTGCATCTGGTCTGTATAAGAGCCAAACACACCTAATAATTTGTGGTTACTAGTGGCTGGCAGCTGGTGCTCATTTCTCATCTTGACTAGTCGCCTATTTTATCTTATGCTCAGTGATGTCACTAGGCTTGGTGCCACCCAGCTCCTTTATCGCATTGTGTCACCCCATCAAGACTTCTCTATGTCAGCCAGTTCTGGTGACTCTGCTCTTGTGGTACCCTACTTTGGTGACACCCTGCTCTTTATTAAACTTAGTTGTGTCAAAACATGTTTTCAAAAGCTGTCAAATTTCCTAATTTTCATTTGGTGTCATCCCCCTGTGAGGGTGTTGCACTTGTGTAAAGGGTACTAGTGTAACTAGTGTAAAGGTATGCAAAATTTCTGATGAAGAGGCAGTAAAAATGTTGCCTTTTGCAGCAACCTAGATTTGCAAATTGTTCACTGAACTGAACATAAAAACAGAATAGAAATCAATTATTAAACCTCAAAAAAGTATACAAAGTTCCTCTGAATTTAAGAAGGCCCAATTTTCATGTCATTGTTCATTGTATAAAAATAGAAACAACATTTCTGCATAATTTGCAGTAAATATTTTTTTTTTAAAAATCTTTTTGATTTAATAAAGAGGATTTTTATCATTTCTTTTGCACATTTTATTTATAATTGTATTCTTCATAAAAATGATAAATTGATTACACTTAAATAACACTATTTGAAAATTAATAAGCCTATGACTATGATTTTCTTCCTTTCAGATCAAGGGTAATGGAGACGTAAAGTACATTGGGGTGATGGCTGATATATAAAATTATTAATATAATAAAAAATATAATGAAGGCATTTTATGCTAGCCTAGGGCAGGGTCTGCAAATTTCTTAGCCTAAAAAGTTTTCCGACCCCAACTCTAAAGGCTAAATGAATGTGAATGAGTATGAGGAAAAATGCCTATACCATGATCATACTCGTATGACTATGCGGATGCCCTAGCAAAAACAGCATTTTGACAGCCCCCTTCCCTCCTCATGATTTGTCAAACTTCACCCCCACCCCCTCCCACTTTTTCCTCCCCAGGTCCAGAGTCAGTCAGTTTGTCACTTAATTGATAGACTCATAAAATACTTTCATAAATAAATTACTCCTACTGTAATTGTTTGTTGATTGTATAATAACATGTGGCCATGGCTTGCATTCACTTCAGAAATAATTTTCTACTTTAAATGTTTAAAAAAAAAAATTGATTAATTCCACAAGCAAAAAAAGTTAATAATACTAGGCATTTTTAAGCTGATTATATTAGTTTATTGTGATTGTCACTGGTGCAATTTTATATATTAAAAATTGAATGGAGGCTGCTGGGAAGGGAATTTATGTTAAGAACGGACGCTAACCTCTATCTTCATTTGTTCTTTTGTCTTTGATGATCCAAATATCCTCAATAACTCCAAATTTTTCAAATGCATCACGAAACTCTTGTTCTGTTGTTCCTTTCTGGCACAATATGAACAATCTACTATTTGGTGGGTCGTCGAGACCACGACTTTCCCTACCGTCTCGACCATCCCTATTATCTCTACCAGCCATTTTAGAATTTAGATCAGTACCTACTTCCGGACAGCGTATAAGGATTATGGGATACTTCAAAAAAAAAAGTAAAATAACATCACTGAAATAAGAAAACAAAATGACATTAAGATTTGAACATAAAACAAAAGGTATGTTAATTAAATTGGAGTAGGGTGACCAAATCATGATTTGGAAAATACGGGACGCTTTCAAAGACGGTTGTTTTATTGTTTTTTTTATTTTTATTGTTTTTTTTTTGGGGGGGGGGGCAGGGCGGGGAATACCCTCCAATTAAAGAGGGGTCTGGGGGCCTTGGCCGGGAACTGTTTATTGAAATATAAGGTATGTTAATTAAATTGGAGTAGGGTGACCAAATCATGATTTGGAAAATACGGGACGCTTTCAAAGACGGTTGTTTTATTGTTTTTTTTATTTTTATTGTTTTTTTTTTGGGGGGGGGGGGCAGGGCGGGGAATACCCTCCAATTAAAGAGGGGTCTGGGGGCCTTGGCCGGGAACTGTTTATTGAAATATGCTCATTTTAAGTAATTTTAAATATGAAATCTAACCTAGAAATCTACTTGGAGCACTCATTCTTTTCCTATGTTTCACTGATGTGATGTGTTGTTTTATGTCTGAACGTCCACCATAACCAATAAAAAACACTTGGGCAAACTGTGCACTCGGCTTCTCTTTCATAGCGTCCTTTTTTATGAAGTTCAACTCTTTGGAATGCTCATCCATAAACTTACATTGACGCTTGGGCATAATTATTGTTTACAGGAAAAGATAATATAAAATTAAAGAATAAAGTTCAACGCCCAAAACAAACACCTGTCACTCTGACAAGAACTGGCCGGCAGGGATCACACATTACACGTAGCGGTCGTGGAATCAAAATTGTTTTCTGCATAGTTACATCCTCCCCCCACCCCTGCGGCCTCAAGTCTCGTGTCTTTCGCTATACATTACCATATAAGATCTATGGCAGGGACACTGTGGTGGAGAGGGAGCGGTGCAGCCATCACGCGAGCCCAGATCACTACTGGCACTGGCTACACAGCTAGCCAAAATATTATTTGAAGTTATGTTATAAATTAAGAAGTTTTAGTGAATGTGTTAGAAAATCTGTTTTTTTTTTTTTTTTTAAATGGACATTTAGGCGTCCCGAGAGAATTTTTCGGGACAACGGGTACGATCGAGAAAAAACGGGACAATCCCGTTTTTACGTGACGTTTTGTCACACTAAATTGGAGTAAACTTTGGAAAAGTTTAGGAAAAAAAATACACGAAATACAATTAATAAAAGGTATTTTAAAGAAAAAAATATATTATGAGTTTCAAGGTCCTAGACTCTAGACCGTTTAGGCTTAGTTATTTTTCATAAATTTGTTATTAATTATAATATTTAATATCTAATTTTTTTTTTAAAAAGACTTAATTTAGAAAAAATATCCAATGCAGTTTAAGAATTTGTAACTTATTGTTAACATTTTTTTTTTAAATGAAGAAAAGACTATGCACTTAAAAATTATTTTAAAAATATGTATTTGCTAGTTTTTAGTATTTAGTCTAATTGATGCCGAGCACCATTCCCCTAACCCTAACCCTTTTCGAACAAACCCTCTTCAAAATCCTAGAACTATCATCTGACCTCCCCCTACCCACACTTCTTCATCTGGTGAGCACTGCATGGGACATATGATAAAATGAGCGATAGAGCTACGTGTGTCAACAACAACAACAAAAAAGAAAAGAAAAAACACAAAAAAAACAAACATCAACAACAAAAATAAAATAAAATAATAAATACGATTATGAGATGGAAATCAAATGCGAGTAGAAAGAAAGTCTTTAAAAATAGGTCATATTTTTTCAAAAGGATTTTACTTTACTTTGTTATTTTACGCATTAAACTAGCTGATGATTCCACCAGACCATGGGCGCCCGCAGGTAGGGCAAGGGGGGGGGGTTGATTGGATCAAAAATGTTTAGACAAAAATAGACAAAAAATTTATTAAAGTAAAAACAAAAATAAAAAAAAGAGAAAGTAACTAAGCTGATGTCCTGTCCGTTCGTTCACCATACAAATACGCTACTGTAAAGTAAAACTATATTAAAACATTACTAAAAAATTTTTTTAAAAAATTACTAAAAATTTTTGCCCCCACTTCCCTGGAAAGTTAATCTTTTTTTTTGCCCCCCCCCCCCCCTAGAAAGTTTTCTGCGGGCGCCCATGCACCAGACCACTACCAATGGCTTAATATCTGAAGGGGAAGCCTATACCACTTAGTTACAAGCTTTATCATTTTGTTCGATGAAAATTTTCTTCTGCTCAATGTCTCAAAACACGAAAAAAATTGTTGTCGACTTTGGGAGAATTCTTTCTCTTAAAGCTCGGACCGAGCGTTTTAAAAATTCTCTTGTTCCCCTGTCGGTACGAATGAACCAACGTGCTCCCCCAACGGTTACTAAATCGAAATGATCACAAATTAAGTCATTATTGTCACTAAAGGAGTTCATCGATGTCTGATTTCTAAGCTAGGGAAATACTTTCAAATTGTTATAATTGTAAAATGTTAGTCTTGTTTAAAATATTTATATATTTAGATCAGTGGTTCTCAACCTTTCCAATGCCGCGACCCTTTAATATAGTTCCCTACGTTGTGGCGACCCCCAAAGACACAATTATTTTCGTTGCTGCTTCAACACTGTTAAGCGTGTGTGTTTTCCGATGGTCTTAGGCGACCCCTGGGAAATGGTCATTCGACCACCAAAGGGGTCGCGACTCACAGGCTGAGAACCGCTGATTTAGATGTATTCGCTGAAAATCAATATGTACAATGTGATAAAAAAATATCTCCATTTATTTGGATCAAAAAAGAATCTTATATATTTTCGTTAGGCTCAGGCCTACTGGCTGATCAATTTCGAGAAAATGTATCACTGCGGAGTTGAATAATTTCTCAAGGAGTTGCCCCATATTAACGTTTGCTGCAATAGAATGTATATATCATTTTTAAGATTTCTTAGTTCGATCATGTGCTCGACTCTCCATTACTGCTACAAAGACTAAGCAGCTTCATTTTGTTAATAGCTATTTTAGTTATCTTAGTTTCTTTTGTTTTACGCGATGTTCCTGCATCTCAGCAGGAAACAGGGGTTTGTAAAGCTCTGTATAGCATCTCAGAAATTCAATCAATGGTTGGGTACAATGGCGCGATCCATGAATGACCTTTTAAGGGACCATTCACATGGTAAGTCACGCGCGGAGGGTGTTATGTGACGTCACACATTTTAACATTTTTATAATCATTCATGTAAAACCTGAAATTGGCAGTGATGCTAAACTTGTTGTGATGGATGTATTCTTACAGAGAGTTTCATTTTGCAGTGTATAATAACGCACATTTATAGGATATAGAAGAAAAGGGGGGCACTGGCGTATAGGAAGTGGGGATGCGTAGGGGTCGATCCGCCCCGGTTGGCATTCTTTGCTATATAATCTTGACCCGCCCCAGGCGGCACTAACCTTAGCTACGCAACTGGGAAGGGGGGGGGCGGCAAAATTCATGGCCCGCCCTGGGGTGCAATAACTCTAGCTGAGCAATAGGCAGCATGTGCCAGTTTAAACGCCGTACATTTGAAGCTGACTGTAAGGATGGCAAAACTACAAACGGACGTACACTAGGACTCAAAAATTACTACCGTATCGTAGGCCCATCTATCATTTTGTTTCTGACTGGCAAAAGGTAGGGGGAAGTCCGAGGACAGTGAAATGTTTGTGAAATGGAAAGAAAAAAAAAATTTTTTTTAATGACGTAACACTTCCAAATCATTGTCTCACTGACTCGTTTATCAGCCGCCATCAATGCCCTCAACACAGTTTGCCTATACTCCAGTGGTCTTACATCCGATTGTGACACTGAGGGTGGTGATGGTGAAACATTCAGTGTTGGGGGTGAAACTTTCAGTGGTGATAAGATTTCAGCTTGTCCTCCAGCAGGACATATGAAGTTGATTAAAAAAACGTTGCACACCTTGCACGCAGTTGTCTACCCAAATCCATGCACTGTGCATATCAGCAAACATACCAATGTCAGTTCATAACACTAACTTTTTAGGCTCACTCTCATGGTTGACATTGAGTCGTGTTAACATAACGCGGGTCCCTGGTCTGGAAAATCAGGAACGAAAATAGCACTTAACTTTATTTTTCTGTTTACTTTTGTGCCACATTAGGATACAGCAATCCTGGCTATTTACTTTGGTTGACATATTTTTTTTTAAAATTGTCATTTTCCTATTCCCTGATAACTTTGTTTACTCGACGTTACTGTATTTATTTTGATTTATCTATTAAGCAAAATTTATAGTTTTTATTTTGTTAAATCCTAAAAACGTCCCCCCCCCCCCCAATGCCTCATCTTTTGCATTTCCCATACCTTGCTTCTTCACTTTCGCCCTAGGTCTCCAGCTATAGTGCTAAATCCTGAAAGCACACACCATATATATATATATATATATATATA